ATGTTAGCTAGTTAAGGTCATGAAACATCTGCAAGAAAAATGCTAGCGCTTGATGATGTTACCTAGTTAAGATCCTGAAACATCTGCAAGAAAACAAGCAACCTCAGCTTCAAGGACCCCCTCACTAGCTAAATTAGTCCATCTTGGCCTTTTTTGTTGTTGTGGCTGCTGGGATAAACTAGCTGGAAACTTAGAAAGGCACAAGATCGCCCAACATTTCAATCCGTTTTTAAATGAGGTGGGTTTTTTTCTTCCCACGTACATGTCTACATCCAAACTAGATTGTGTTGTTTCTCTGTGTTGTATCATATCTGGGTATATCCATCATTTTGTATTTATTTATTTATTTAGTCATGTTTATGTAGTGTATGCTGGAGGTAGTCACCCTTTGAGAGCGGTTTCATTTTAATGTATGCCAATTAGTGTACATTCAAAGTCAGTCTTAAGGGTTACCCTACTGGATCTGTTTGGCTGGGTGATCTCCACACGTATGGCACTTGTTAGGAATATGAGTCACCTAACAGCTATTTGGGTTAGAAATATATAAACCAGGATAAACATTTTAAAACTGTAACTTTAAGAAAATGCAAAACTGTAATTGGGTGTGGTTTCTCAAACGGCCATAAGATGGAGCTAGAAACCTGGTTTGTCTTAGTCTGAGTCTCAGAAGAGAGTGTGAGTGTATCTCTGTTTCCTTCTGTTGGAAAGTATTGCCGTTCCTCCATTTCTTCTAATTGACTGATATTCCTGGATTTAATGTAAGTCTGTTACTGAACTGTTTTTTGACACTGGACTTTGATATTTGGATTATCCCTGGATTGAAAACTGACTTGATTTAACTTGTGAATGACTTTGGATTGCTTATTTTGGACTTTGCTTAAACCTTTCTGGAAGTAAAAACCTACATTTACTGTACAGTGTATCTGTGTGCTGTGTGTGTATTATTCAAACACTTCTCTCAAATACGTCTCCCCGTATGCGCTCATTCTCCTAACGGGGAATTACCTCAACAGCACTCTTAATGCAAACCGTCGCGGATGAGCAAAAAGGACTGGAGTATATTTACTACAACCACTCCTGTGTTTTGGTCCAGAGAGGAGGCCAAGAAAACACGAGGGAGTTTCGCCTGCCCGCTTGCCTATCGCGAAGGAGAAAGATGGTTGGGAAAGTTGAAAAATGGTTGAGAAAAATCACGGCGCGAATAACAGAATGTGACTTGCTTGTTGGGGCGTCGATAATCTGGCTGAGGTTTCCTGAAACCAAGTTTCCCCTCCTACACAGGAGTATTTCTGTGCAGCGACCTCTTTGTTTTTTCCCAGTTCTCTGAGCTTTGTCTGTTGGTGGATGGGTTTTGTGGTTATTGCTTGGAAACTCAAGCTGCCGTGGAGCATCAGTTCGACTATTGTGATGCTCAGGAAGGGACCCCCAGATTGTATGTTTGTGTGGGGAGAGAGAGAATTGGGAGCGGAGAGGAAAATTCATTGCAACAATTAGGCGAAGTTTTCTTGTCCTTTTCCCCCCCCCTGGTGATGGCTGGCTGACACCTTTGGGATACTGCGGAAAAAAAGTTAGCGTTCCTTTCACAGATAAGAAGATTGTGAATTTCTATTAAGTGAACAATGGGGGGGGGGAATCCCTCTATTTTAAAAAATAACTGATAATTTGTCCACTGTGACTCTTCGGTTCCCCATCGGAGCAGGGGAAGGTTTATTATGACGCACATCTTTGACATGGTTACACAAGAGGTGTTTGTGTGTGTGTGTGATGCAGCCACTTCCAAGTCTAATCTGAAACTTGAGTATCCTAGAATTTTTACATCTATGGTTGCATTGGATGTTTTTTTATTGCTTGGGGGGAGACTTCTTTTAGAGTGTGTATTTTTGCTTGTGAACTTGATCAATTCTGACTCCTTCGGCAAAGGTTGCTCGGCTAAATTAAAATTCAGATTTCACCGTGCCTTCAGCTGATGGCCCTGGAAGAGGCAGTTTGATCCAACTTTCTGCCTAAGAAAATGGACTTCTCTCACAAATCACACACACACACACACACACATACATAAAAAAAGAAAACAGGTTATTTTTTCTTTAACCCGACTTTTGCTCCACCAGCACAGTTGTATCTAACTATAAAATTTCATGGACCAAGACAAACTGTGAAATTTTATAAGGCTGGCAGGGGTGGTGAAGAAGGGGTATATACAGTATATATTGCTTTTTTCAAAACGAAATTTTTTCTTGTCCAGCAAGCCAAGCTTGGCTTAAAAACAGTCGCATTTTGGTTTATTTGGAGAACACAGCCATTGTTCTAATAGCTTATGTGCCTCGGGTTGCCCTGTTAAGTCATTTTGTACTTTATTTCTGTGCATATTGTATGTTTTCAAGAATACAGAAGCTGTGTTTTTGCTCACCCCGATTGAAAATAAAAGTGTGGTGTGAATCCAGGAAATCCTTAAATAATCAGTGAATATAAAGTACATTGCTGCGCTTCCAGGCCAAGGAAGGATGTTTTTATTATATTCAATTTTGTGTCTTATTTGGGCTTTCTTTTCTTTTTTTCAGATTCCTGAGTTTCTCTAAAGCTTACCAATTCTCCCTTCTCTGATTCATTTTTTTTTCTGATCACATAAGCAACAATTTCATGAGTTTGCTATCACTGTATAGGATTTATAGTTATTCAGAAAACGTTTCAGAAAGTTAACTTGTCAGGGGCACAACAATTTTGCAAGATGGATCAGCGTTATGGCATGGATTGAGGCTTGAGAAGATACCAGTTAGTCCTTACCACCAGTGGCTTATTAAACCACTAGCTCAATACCCATGCTTTGCTACAAAACTATGTGATCAGGCTTAGTTTTGGGAGTAGGAAAATAAGGAATAAGGGAAAAATTCTGCCTCTGCCTACCAGCATCCATTGGTGTTCATGTGGGTAGCGTCCCGTCAGTGTGTGAGAGAGTTGAGGTCTGTTTGGAAACTGAAGCAGTATTTGCTGTGTGAGTAAGAAGGAGACAGCAAGGAGCCTGGGTGTGGCTTACCTCAACTGTTCTGTACTCAAGCTGGTTGCTGCTCTGAAACTGAAACTCCTTTGTGTCATGCCCTTGGTAGAGTCGGACTCTGAGGGAGAGGAGGAACAACTGACAGGGGGTGGAGGTGTGGCTCCGGAGGTTGTGGAAGAGGCTGGGGAAGGGCAGAGGCCAGCTGGGTAGTCAGAGGAAGAACCAGGCCCATCCCCTCTTCATCCTAGGACACGCAGGGAGGAACGGAGAAGGAAACAACTTGGCTTATGAGAGAGGAAGTGGCCATGATCCACCTCATTGGTTGCAGCTGTGGAGAATAGTACATAAGAGTGATGATTACAACACAGCATTGCCAGAAGCAAAGCATGTTTTATTTTGGGCTGAAGTTATCTTGGTTGGCGTCCTTCCAACAGACTGTTATGTCCTTGAAGTTGGTAATTACTTATCCTGGTCCGTTGTGGAATTTCTTTCATTGTAGTTTGTTTTGGGGTTTTTATTTCACCTCTATCTGCTCATTAAGTTTGGACTGTATTGCTTTCTTTTAAAAACTATTTTTGAGTAAGTTTTATCTCCAACTGAGAATTATTGAACAGTGGGGCCAAGTTGGAGGCATTAAAGGACGTTTAGTTTTGGATTTTGTTACGTTTGTGTTACACTCCGGGTCATCACAACGTTGTTCTTCAGCTTTCTCTGGATAATCTTACATTTCTTCAACTTCCAATGTTGGATTGAGCAAGGGATGGACTCCGAGGTCTATTCTAATTCTAAAATTCTGTAATCCTCAACCTGCCTGGAAATAAGCAGAATAGAAACCAGAAATCCTTCACCTACGATTATCCATCAGGGATGAAAATGGGAGTGGGCGGGAAGCCTAGTTAATTATTTTGTTGACTTGTGTTGTTTATCTCTTCTAGGTATTGCCAGGAAATATTCTTCTTCCTCTTGTTGGTTCAGTTGGAGACATCTAAAACACAAAGAGATGAACTGTCAAAGTCCTAGAGAGGCATCAACTGTTAAGCCTTAAATGCACTTTTGTGCTGCTGGGCTGATCCTCAAGTTTGATGTGGGTGAGCTTTGTTGAGAAACTAAACATGCTACCAGGAAGTGCTGTTTTTTGGGGAGATTTCCAGTTTTTTCACCTGTAATTTCAAAGCATCCAGCCGCTGGATTTAACATAGGAGAGCGACAGAAAGTCGCTCGATCCCACGAGGGATTTCAGGACAAACATGGCAAGTTCCTGCTCGGTGGCCAACTGCAAAAACCGCCGGTGGCATGGATCCCATGTCACCTTTCACAGGTAAGCGAGCGAGCTTGAATCTCCCTTCACCCCATGAGCGTCACCATTTTATTCCACGGCTGCATAAGCTGGCGGGCGAGAGGGGATTTGACGTAAACGGGGAGCAGTAAAAGATGCAGCAGGAGAGGGGCCCCGTTCGTGGCCACTCCAGCCTCCCGTCTCTGTGTCTGGAGGCCAGCATAACCCTAATCTGGATTTAGATAAAATACACCACCTTGATTTTGGTAAGTGAAGCAAGGATAAACGCCGAGGCTTCAAATGGGTAAGTGAGAATAGAAGGGGTCAGCTCGTAAAACAACGCTTAGCGGTCTTACCTCGGTCTTTCATCCAAGCACCAATGGGGGCGGGGGGCGGGCAGAGAGACTGAACGCCATGGTAGAGCAGTATCTGAGGTGCTACGTAAATTATCAGCAGGCCAATTGGGCGGACCTCCGGCTTTTCGCAGAGGTCACGTACAATAATGCTGTTCACAATAGCACGGGACTAACCCTCTTCAAGGTAGCGAACAGCATGGATTTCGTCCCAATGCCTGAGTATCCAAGGTCAGCCTGACCGATTGGAGGTCAACACTGAAAGCAACTTGGGGGAATGTCAAAAAAAGCACTGGCAAAAGCGGCACAGACCTATTAAGAGACAGGCAGACAAAGACCGAGCCCCACAACGACCAGTTGGGGGGAGAAGGTCTACCTGTCCACCAAATATCTGAAGTTAAGACTCCTTAGCAAGAAATTGGGGCCAAAGTTCACGGGACCATTGGAAGTGTGGCTCGAGGCTCATGGTTGAATTGGAGTAACTGCCGGAACCCGGACAGAAGGCTGTGTTTGAACGGAGTTTCGCCCGCATTTTATGACTTTCCATGGCATGTTTGTGAAGGGAATCCCTTCAGTTGCTAAGTTAGTCACACAGTTGTTGAGGGAATCTGGCTTCCGCACTGACTTTGTGTCAGCTGTTCGTCCGAGATCGTAGCTTTAGTGAAGTTTTTTATTTGTCTTCCACACCCACAACAACAGGTAACAGCGATCAAATCATGTTTAAAGTCAGCTCTGGGTTACAATGAAACCCAGGGCTGTATTTATACTTGTTATACTTTGGATAACAATATAATTACTATAACCACCTTCCGTCTGGCTTCACTGCCTAACATCCGTCATCCTTAAATTAAAGAAACATAGTAACTGCACCCATGTACCCTCATTTATTTCTTATCATTATTACAACATCACCCCCTTGACATCCAGCCATGAATCATTACTATTACACCACTCCTTGTCAGGAAGCTGATGTTAGTTATTTGACGAATATTCCTTATAGCATCCACGTGGCAAGACTAGGCAAGTGAAAGAATATGGTCGTATCACATCCTGGCTGTCTCGGCTCCAGTCCGTTCTTTATTGGAGTTGTGACACTTTTGCTTGTCAGAAGGTCGCAAAAGGGGAATCCCACGACTCCAGGACACTGCAACCGTCATACATGTGAATCGGTTGTCAAGCATCTGCATCCAAATGTAAATCACGTGCCCACGGGGATGGTGCAGTCTGTCCTAAGTGTGAAAAATGGTCATGTCACTTTTTTTTTGAGTGCCGTCGTAATTTCGAACGATCACTAAACGAACTGTTGTAGGTCAGGGGCCGCCTGTAATGGGGAGTTGATTGGTTGACTGATTTGATCTCTATAGCCACCCATTTCAACAAGCAACTTTTTCTTTACAGTTAATTTGAAAATGTCCCTTCTTCCCTTTCAATTTTAATGAAACCCTCTGAACCAGGGGTGTCAAACTCAAGACCCATGGGCCGGATCGACCTGTGGGGTCCTTAAAATCTGGTCCGCAGGGCCGGCCTGGAAATAGCAAAGGACTCGCCCACAGTGCCTCTGGCAGCCAAAATGGGATGTGGGGGGTGTCAACTCATAAAACATTTTGTAGACACGTTTTATAGTTGTCAACAGAAAGAAGGGGGGGTGGGTTCAAAGAGCAGGCGGCAGTGTGGAATCGAAAGTACATTCCATTCATATTTTCTTCAAAGACTGATTAGATGACGGAAGCTTCTGCCATGCAAAAATCTAATTGGAGAGCATGATTGATGACTCTTGGCTATGGACTTATTTTGTTGGATGATACACCCAGAGGGGTGTGGGGGAAAGCACGATCAAGGGTGGCAGCGAATTACATATCTCAGAGTCAGATAATGCCGGCATGTTAACTTCTAACAAATGTTTTTTTAGTTATGGGAGTGTGGCTCGAGGCTCATGATTTAATTGGAGTGACTGTCGGAATCCTGACAGATAGCTGACTCTGAGATAGGTATTCACTGTCACCCTTGATCCTGCTTCCCCCACCCCCCACCTCTCTGGGTGTATCATCCAACGAAACAGGTCCGTAGCCAAGAGTCATCAATCATGCTCTCCAATTAGATTTTTTTCACGGCAGAAACTTGTACCCTCCATGGCCTGTTTTCGGCCTAGATGGCCTCCTGCAGCACTTTGCTGGCCAAAAGAGGTTATGGGGGGGGGCCCACACGCACCCCGTTTTGGCCGACAGGGTGCTGCAAGAGGTGGCCGGCCCTTCTCCCCCACAACCTGGCCGGCCCACGGAAGAGACCTACAATGCTGATCCGGCCCCTCAAAGAAATCCAATTTAACACCCCTGCTTTAAACTATTTAGCTCCGCTTCACTACCATTTTTTGGTTAAGATATGGTGGATCTTCTGAGGTGGTCTGGAAACTTCCATTTTGCCCCTCCCGCAAAGAAATGGGAAAGCCCGATTTACCCTTGGCCTCCTCTGTTTCATTTTCATCCAACTGTATTGAATTCTACTGTATAGTGCAGTATTAATGCCATATCAGGGGTTTTCAATTCAACGTATAGAATGTGAAGGAGGTGTGTGTGTGTTTATTTTCATAGTCATAATGTACACTGAAGAGGGTATTTAATATCATTGTACGAGGTGCAATGACAGTAAAGTAAAGTAAAGCCCTCGCTCAAGCAGAGAATTAATGTGATGACCCGGGGTGTGGCACAAAAGCAACAAAGTTACAAAAATAGGTAAAATCCCTTTAATTGGCCCAACTTGGCCCCTGATGTCCGGTTATCATCGGCTGGAGAAAAAACTCTCCCAAAAACAGTTTTCAAAGGGAAGAAATTCCGTCCAAACTCAAAGTACATATAAATCAAAAACCAACACAAAGCACACTGCAGCAATTAACGAGACAGGGCAGGATAAGGGGTTAAAGACATCAAAAGATAACAAAACACACACACTTGGGAGGACTCCAAAACTCAGATAAGACTTGACAAACCAGAATAATTTCACGCTTTGCTTCCAGCAACTTTGCCATGCAGCTGCAGCCAATGAAGGGGATCAGGGCCCTTTCCTCCCCTGTAAACCATGCAACTTAACATTGCTTCCTTCTCCGTTCCTCCCTGCGTGCCCCTAGGATGAAGAAGGGGTGGGCCTGGGCCTTCCTCTGAATGCCCAGCCGGACTGTGCCCTTCCCCAGTTTCCTCCACAGCCACTGGAGCCACACTCCCATTCCCTGTCAGCTGTTCCACCTCTCCCTCCGAATCAGATTCCAACAGGGGCATGACAATTACATTCTTTTGTAAATAATCCTGTGAATATCCCTGTGTTGAGTTTGGGTTTGTCTTTGTTTTTTAACACAACTTTTTCAATCGTTGCTGTAGGTTTCCTCTTACGAAGCAGAGGCAGTTAAAAAAGTGGATCAAAAGCATTGGTCGTCCGAATTTTGCTCCCTCTTGCGACGACGTCGTGTGTTCGGAACATTTCAGGAAGACGGATTTTTGGGGAAGGTTGGCTTCTGGGAGAAGGAATTTAAAGCCAGGGGCTGTCCCAACTATCTTTAATGCCTCTGGCCGTTCAAAAAGATTAAACACTGCCAAGGTACTGTTTTGTTTTTTTGCTTCCCCCCTCCCCCCCCTCTTCTCCCCGGAAATTTATTTGGCTTTTTTGAATCATCTTAGAAAAATCAGGGCCTGGTCAGTTCCTTCTTTTGACATTTAAACATCTTCATTTCTGGTCCTGATACATAATTGGGCTCAAATATATAACCATTTTTCTTATTCAATCTGCCTTTGGATGATGGATTTTCTGTCTGGCCGTTGACAGAGGGTCAGATTAGGTAATCGTACCTCTTCAGCCCTTATTCTTAACATTGGTACATCACAGGGTTGCGTGTTGAGTCCCTTACTCCAGTGGCCCCCAAGCTTTTTTGTGCCACGGCCCGGTACCGGCATCACAAAATGATCCGCGGCCCGGTACCGGCATCAGCACGCATGACAAGGCAAGGCGAGCCGAGCGACCGGCCAGCCAGCCGTCCCCCGCTTCTCCCCGCCACCTTCAACTCCTCCTTTGTACCTTTGTCGATGGGCTTTGCTTCGGGACGGTCGCTCGGCTCGCCTTGCCTTGGGTGCTGAAAGAATCCTCACGCCTTAGTTTCATTCGAAGCCCCCCCCCCCTTGGATGAAACTAAGGCGCGAGGATTCCTTCAGGACCCAAACGCCGCTTTTCAACCAGAAAAGCTCACCTGGAAGCACTTTCTCGTCAAACAAGATGGCGGCGCCCAGCAAACCGGCGGCCCGGTAGGAAATGTTCCATGGACCGGTACCGGTCCGCAGACCGGTGGTTGGGGACCCGTGCCTTACTGTATACTCTTTACGTGCATGACTGCATTCCCACTCACGCTGGTAATACTACTGTTAAATTTGCAGGTGATTCAACAGTGGTGGGACTCATCTCCGGGGGGGGCGGGATGAGTCTGCCTATCTAGATGAGGTGGACTGGTTGCTTTCGTGGTGTGGAGACAATAACTTGGTCCTCAAGACCAAGGAGCTGATAGTGGATTATAGAAGGAACGGATCAGACATCCAGCCCTTGCTTATCAATGGAGACCAAGTAGAGCAGTGGTCTCCAACCACCGGGCCCCGGACCGGTACCGGGCCGTGGATCGTTTTGTACCGGCCCGCAAAGAATGTTTGCTTGGGCGCCGCCATCTTGTTTCAGCGTCCTGAGTTGCCTTAGCATGCTCGGTTAGTTAAGAAATGCCCCTACCCAGAGAAGGAAGTGGTGCTGGAGGAGGAGGAGGAGGAGGAGGCAGTAGTGGAGAAGCAAGCAACTCAAGGGCGCTACCGCTGTGGCGGCTTTGCCTGCCTTTCCGAGGCTTCCATGTTGGGAGAGGCAGCAAGGGCTGGAAAAGGGGAGAGCTGTGCAAGGCTCCGTCTCCTTTTCCTGCCTGCACGTGGGTGGGTGGGGGAGGAAAGAGAGAGAGAGAGCCGGGAGCAATTCAAGGCTAGAAAACTAATGGGGAGAGCTGACGGCAGGCACTGGGGGCGGGGACTGTTGTTGCCGCCACCGGCCGTGTGTGGGAGCGTGCATCTCAGGGACCTGAGCCGGGAGGCGTGAGAACTGCAAGTAGGAGCGTTGGATGATTTTTGAAGAACTCCTGGAACACGGTAGATTGGCGTTTTGTAGGTCTCAGTGAAAGAGTGAGCTTTGTTTGGTCTCCTTTCCTCCCCTGGTAATGCGAGAGATACTTTCTCTCTTCCCCCCTCCACCCCCAAATAATCACTGGCTGTGGCTGGGTTTGGCAGCGAAGTGCTAAAGCGAGCGAAGTGCCCCCAGGTGAGGCTGGAAGAGGCCCCCCCCCCACCAGCTTTTCCTCGGCTACAGATCTGAGCCTCTCAATCCTCCACCCGGGGTCTGAAAGGAGCTCCCCCTTTCTCCCCCTCCCCTCCCCCAATTAATCACCAAGAGCGGCAGTCCTTCTGCAGGCAGATGCCCGCTGAGAAGCCCCTGGAGTGGCAGCCAAGGGGCGCTGCCCCCCCAAGGCGAGCAAAGCTCCCTTTCTCCCTCTGCTTCTCCCAGCAGCAGTTGCCCCGAGGCCCCTCAGCTTAGACACACACACACACACACACACACACACACACATACACACACAGCCTGCTCTTCTGTATCTTTGGAAGGTGCCAGGTGGGGGAGGCTTCCAGCCCAGAACATTTTATTTTGTTATCATTAAGCATTTACATTTTTGTTATAATTAAATAAGTGTGTGTGTTTGTGTATGATGTGTGTGTATGTATATATGTGTATGTGTCTGTATATGTATATATATATATATATGTATATGTGTGTGTGTGTGTATGTATGTATGTATGTATGTATGGCATTCAGCTTTGTTCGGGTATTTTCCCACGTCATTGTAGTTGTGCTTTTAAAGTTGTAGCAACGTTTCAGCAGAATTTCATCTGCCATCATCAGGCTTCTGATTGTGTCCATCTGTGAGTCAGGCCCCCACAGTTGTTTTAGTTTTAAATTTGGAGCTAGCCTATTGCTGTGCCAGAATGGTTTTTTCTTCCTCCTGATTAGTTGGGAGTCTTGGTCTGTGTTTATTGGTCTTGGAGTTTGCTGTGTTCTGCTTGATTGGTGTCTCTAATATCTTCTGTCTGTTTAGTGGCTCTTTTTGTGTCTTGATTGGTTGGCAACATTGTGTTCCTTTATTGGAGGCCTTTTGTGCAGCTTGGCTCCGGACACAATCGGAAGCCTGATGATGGCAGATGAGATTCTGCCGAAACGTTGCTACAACTTTAAAAGCACAACTACAATGACGTGCGAAAATACCCGAACAAAGCTGAATGCCATACATGTAAGTACCCGCGAAAACTTAAGAAAACAAATATAAATATATATATATATATATATAAAACATTAACATAAAAACATAACATAACATAAAAAATTATATTAAATATATTAGCTTTTAAAAAAATCATATTAGTGGTCCTTGGGATTTAAAAGTATGAATTTGGTGCTTCTTGAGATCCAAAAGGTTGGTGACCCCTGGAGTAGAGCAAGGGGCCAGTTTTACGTTTCTGGGTGTTACCCTAAAAGAGGACCTGACCTGGGGTGCCCACATTGCAGCCCTGGTCAAAAGGGCCCAGCAGAGATTATACTAAGACTTCTCAGAAAACAACAACTGAATGAAAAACTGCTGGTGACCTTCTACCGCTGCACCACAGAGAGTATCTTAACTTACTGCACCTCTGTATGGTTTGCCAATTGCACAGTGGCAGATAGGAAAGCGCTCCAGAGGGTTAACGTCATTGCCCAGAGGATCATGGGTTGTCCTCTCCCCTCTTTGGAAGAGCTTTATAGCTCCCGCTGCCTTAAGAAAATTCAAAACATTCTCAAAGATCCATCTCATCCTGGGCACCCCTTTTTTTAAACTATTACCATCTGGCAGACGGTACAGGAGAATAAAAATAGGCTGAAAAACAGCTTCTATCCCAGGGCAGTAACTCTATTGAATTCTACTGTATAATGCAGTGTTGGTGCGGGGTCGGGGGTTTTCGGTTCAATGTGTGGAGGGTGAAGGATGTGTGTTTGTGTTTATTTTCATGGTCAATGATGTGCACTGAAGATGGTGTTTGATTTTGTTGTACGAGGTGCAAGGACAATAAAGTAAACTAAACTAAACTAAAACTAATTTAGAAAATTAGAATAACTAAAGTCTATTGGAATTTTGCTATGTTGAGAGACGATGGAGATGTCACCCCCAAGTCCTGTGAAAATAAGAATTTTGTAAGAAAAGACGCGAGTTGAACATTGTAAAATAACTTCAAACATTGTAAAATAACTTCAAACATTG